CCTGTACATATTTTTTTAAAAATATACCCAAATGTCTGTAGACCCCTACTCTATATCATGCAACGTTTGATTCAAAGCAAAAAATAGGAATGTTGACTTACTTGTGAATTCCATATCTTGGAGTTCAAGACTCAGGACTTCAGTCCTACACCATGGGTTACATTACGCTGAAGGTGACAGTATATAGCCCGTACTCTAAGAATCACCTCCCGTGTCCTGTATGTACAATTATGATAACAGGGATTCTTATGTTCCGGTAAATTCTGTATCTTAGTGTACAGAATGTGATAAAGTGTATGGGCCTGCCTGATTGGATACAAAATTGATTGGATATTTTAGGTAGGTTCTCTTATAACAAAGTTTTGGTAAATCTAAAGTTGATTGTACACTGATTGAATGGTCATGTTGTAACATGTATGGTGACCCTAAAGTAGATTGTACAATCAGTTTGTAATATGTTGCTAGCCTAAAAGACTTTAGCCTGACATTGGATATGGTGGAGATATTTATGGCCCTCGTTTTTATACAGGTAGGTAATGGATCCACCAGTCTGTGGTTTGATGTGCTGAAAACATGTTTACAGCCGTAGCTGCTGGGGGGGTTGGGTAGGACTGGGTATGGCTCATATCGTCCCATGGATCTTGTAACTGCTGGTATTGCTCTTTGGAGACCTGGATATGATTAGCTATTTCACACTATTATGTCAATAAAGGCTCGGCATGAGTCCTTGCCACCATATTATGTGTGTGTTAGTGAGGTCAGAATGCGGCCTATCTGCATAAGAAAAGCCTCAGCTCGTCCTTTCATTCCCCTGACCTGAGACAAGGGGCCTTTTCTGAATGTTTGTGGTGCGGGTGCTGCTCTGCCACGGCCATTGTTGTCCCCCTCATCATCTTTTAGGGATTAAAGAGCGGCTCTGACGGCCCCCGGGGGACACAACCATAGGGACGTCAGCTGGGATACGTGTGGGGATGAACCTCTCAGGGCTTACTGAGAACCTACAGGCACAGGCCGGATTCCTCATCCAACGTACAATAGAGTCCCAGCTTCACACATCTCAGGATATTAAAGTGGAATCTGAGTGAGAGGCATCTCCAGGAGACGTATTGTTGTGTTCGAAGTGGTGGAACATAGCGGTCAACATTCTAAACCCGAGGTTCCCAACCTTACTGAGACCAAGGCCCAGCGAATTCTTCCAAAAGCTTCCATGCTCCAAGAGTTAAAAAAAAATAAAAGTTTATAAGCATGCAATGAAATGATTGGAATGCAAAATATGTATTGTAATTTGTAAGGCACTTGGTGGCCCTGTAGAGGATGATGCTTCTGAAGCAGGCTGGGGGGGCAAATATGGGGTAATTGGTCTCTGGAGGAGGCTGGGGAGCAACTATGGGGTAATTGGTCTCTGGAGGAGGCTGGTGATCTTTCCAGGAGTCTGAGGGCACTGCGGGGGCTAGGGTGCACAGTGCAAAGTTGGGAGGCACTGTTGGTTTGGTGGCACTTTGAGGGGCTGGAGGCTTTGCAGCAGGCTAGGGGGCACTGCAAACGGCTTGGTAACACTTTGGGAGGCATTGTGGGGGCTGAGGACTTTCAGGTGGCTTAGGGTACTGGGGGCAATTGTGGGAGGTTGGGGGCTTTATGAGTCATGGGAGACACTATGGTAGGTAAGGGGATCTGCAGCTGTTTGGAGGAAGATGGAAGGCACTGTTGGATGCTGTTGCATTGGTGGCACTATGAGAGGCTGGAGATTTTGCAGCAGGTAAGGGGGGCACTGCAAAGGGATTGGCGACACTTTGGGAGGTTGGGCGGCATTGTGGGGACTGAGGACTCTCAGGTGGCTTGGGGCACTGTGGGAAATTATGGGGAGTTGGAGGCTTTATCGTTGCTGGGAGGCACGGTGGTAGGTTAGGGGATCTGCAGCTGTTTGGAGGAAAGTTGGAAGGCACTGTTGGACACTGTTGCATTGGTGGCACTATGAGGGGCTGGAGGCTTTTCAGCAGCCTAGGGGGCACTGCACAGGGGTTGGTGACACTTTGGGTGGCATTGTGGGGGCTGAGGATTGCTGATGATACAGATTGCAAGAGTTGGACAGGTGATGTCATGATATCCATCTCATCCAGTCAGAGAACACTTTGCATCCTTGAAAAAAATGCAAGGCGTTTTGTGAGTGACAAGCGAGCGACTCTGTGTGTTCACTATGCAGGGTAACTGCTTGGCACAGGACCCAGAAAACAGTGAGGATCACTGTAGTAGCCAGTACTGGGACAGGATCATCCAGCGCCCAGGTCAAGGATGCAGAACTGCGCCCCCTTCTAATGCATGCCATTGAATGGGTGTACCACCTTGTGCCCATTCTTTGCTCCCTTGCTCCAACTGCCCATGGTTGGCACAGAGCGTGCACTGCCACTCCATGGCCAACCACTTACCAATCACTGGCTAGAAGGCAGTTGCATATGCACAGTGTTTTTTTTACCTTGAACAAAAGTAGTGACATCACTACAGTCTAAATCTAAATTTTTGTTTACAAACGTGAAATCACTGCTTTACAATTATAAATGACATTTTTGCTTACATTAGACAAATATAAATATATGTTGAAATTTATTACAGCAGTGTTAAACATTTATTGTATTGCAGCTTACCTAGCTCCTTTATATTGTAAAGCGCTGAGTATACTGTTGAAGCTATATAAATCATGTATAATAATAATATAATAATAATAACAGTCCAGAGGCAGACAGCACAGGACGTTATCAGATCTCAAGATTTCTTGCTGGATGAACAGATACTTTTGTTTGCATTTGTCAGTCAGATATAATAGAATGCTGTCACAGGTGTATTTTTACCTACCAAAAGAGAGCAAATAAGAAAAATCTAAAGAAAACCTATAGTCACAGCATGCACTTTCATATTATAACCTCAGCATTGCCATAACATCACAGACAATAGTTGTATTTCATAATGCAATATAAGTTACTTGAAAGTGAAAATTCTCCTTTCAGCTCCATGCACACTAGTGTCTTTTTTAAGCTCATGCTTTAGTCCTGGTTCACACCTTTGCAACCGTGTGGGCCGTGATTTGCGTGGGCACGAGAGCCCATTCATTTGAATGGACTCCCGTGCCCCGGGATGCGCAGGAAAGAAGTCCCTTCACTACTTGGGAAATTGCAGCCCACATGAGAACCGAGGTTCCCAGTACTGTTGCGATTTCCAGTCTGGGCGGTGTGCCATTAGAACTAATGGCACCCTCAGGAATTACATTACGATTTCATATTGGTTTTATTCTATAGTAAAAGACGGAATACTGGTAATACTGGTTATAGACTACAGTGGTCAATGTTGTGATCTATAAACAGCACAGGGGCTAAATGTTTAGCACTTCTGCCTGGCAGTACTAGGGTTGTTGGTTCAAATCCTAGCCACAGTATCACCTGCCTGGAGTTTGCATGTTCTCCCTGTGCCTGTGTGAGTTTCCTCTAGGGACTCCGGTTTCCTCCCACACTCCAAAGACATGCTGGAAGGTTAATTGGCTCCTGTCTAAATTGGCCCTAGTATGTGTATGTATGAATGTGAATTATGGACCTTAGATTGTACCCCTCTTGAGGGTTAGGAACTGATGTGAATGTACAATATATATGTAAAGCGCTGCTGAAATTAACAGCGCTATATAAGTACCTGAAATAAACAGTATATTCCTTTTTTGAATTGTGTCTTGTGTTTACTGTAGATTGGTCTGTTAGAGGCTTGCAGGGCATTAACTTGTTTTATTTTTACGTGGAGTTACATTACTAGACTCCCAATATAAATATCACTGCGCTCCAAAAATAATTTACAATTTACAGGATTGGCATTATAACCCTCTAAATACATTTTACAGGACCGGTCTCACCACTTTCCAAGTCTAAGTTATAATCTATAGGAGTGGCATCACTCTTCTTGATGTCACTAATACAATATTTATTTCAGGTACTTATATAGCGCTGTCAAATTACACAGCGCTTTACACATATATATATATTGAACATTCACATCAGTCCCTAACCCTCAAGGGGCGTACAATCTAAGGTCCCTAACTCACATCCATACATACACATACTAGGGCCAATTTAGACAGGAGCCAATTTACCTACCAGCATGTCTTTGGAGTGTGGGAGGAAACCAGAGCACCCAGAGGAAACCCACGCAAGCACAGGGAGAACATGCAAACTCCATGCAGGAGGCACCATGGTCGGGAATCGAACCCATAACCTATTTACTGCAAGGCAGACGTGCTAAACACTAAGCCACTGTGCCGCCCACATTATCATTATAATACAGGATATACAGTAATATATATATATATATATATATATATTATATATATATATATATATATATATATATATATATATATATATATATATATATACATACATACATACACACTCACCAGCCACTTTATTAGGTCCACCTTGCTAGTACCAGATTGGACTCCCTTTTGCCTTCAGAACTGCCTCAATTCTTCATGCCATAGATTCAACAAGGTGTTGAAAACATTCCTCAGAGATTTTGGTCCATATTGACATGATAGCATGCCTTTCTATTATCTTGAACCAGTCTGCCCATTCTCCTCTGACATCAACAAAGCATTTTTGTCCACACAACCGCCGCTCACTGGATATTTTCTCTTTTTCGGACCATTCTCTGTAAACCCTAGAGATGGTTGTGTGTGAAAATCCCAGTAGATCAGCCGTTTTTTAAATCCTCAGACCAGCCCTTCTGGCACCAACAACCATGCCACGTTTAGAGTCACTTAAATCCCCTTTCTTCCCCTATCTGATGCTCAGTTTGAACTTCAGCAAGTCATCTTCACCATGTCTAGATGCCTAAATGCATTGAGTTGCTGCCATGTGATTGGCTGATTAGCAATTTGTGTTACCAAGCAATTGAACAGGTGGACCTAATAAAGTGGCCAGTGAGTGTGTAAGTGTGTATATATATATGTATATATATATACAGGGGCGGACTGACAACTCATGGGGCCCCCGGGCAATAGGGGATCATGGGGCCCCTGTGTCCTTGCCCAAACTCAAAAAAGCCTATGAAAAAGGTACCAGGGGCATCTCATAGGGCCCCCTACTGACCCCGGGCCCTCAATAGGGGATCATGGGGCCCCTGTGTCCTTGCCCAAACTCAAAAAAGCCAATGAAAAAGGTACCAGGGGCATCTGATGGAGCCCCCTACTGACCCTGGGCCCCCGGGCAGTGCCCGAGTTTCCAAATGGTCAGTCCGCCCCTGTATATATATATATTTATATATAGATATTATTATTATTATTATTATTACTTCGAGTTTATATAGCGCCAAAGGGTTTGCTCAGCGCTGTACAATAGAGGGGGGACAATACATGGCACAGTACAACAACAACAAACAACGTACGAGGGGTAAGAGGGCCCTACTCTTTCGAGCTTACAATCTAGGTGGGAGGGGGTAAAGGTACAGTAGGAAGTGGCTGAGGGGAATGAGGGGTGGGAGGAAAGAGGGAGAATGGCCGTTAGGTGAGGGTGGGGTAAAAAACGTATAAGGTGTGACAATTTTATTCCCGGAATGCAGGTGGCATAGCACTATGGTAATGAGTCACACAACCATTCACACTCAAGTGTGTTCTGACATGTTCTACCTTGTACTCTCCTGGGTCACGGACCTGTTGACTTGGGCTTTACGGAGTAGTAGAAGATATAACGTGTGTGTGCGGTGCTCCGTTGGCACAAAATGAGTGACAGGAATCTGGAGCAGCAGATTAAACATCAAATTTTTTGTGAAAATTGGCAAAAATGCAAGTGACAGCCTCAGGGCTTTTTTTCTCAGAGAATAGATGCAGGAACTCCCCCCTTTTGAGTCACCCCTTATCTCTGCCCCCTACCCCATGTACGAGCACCATCCTTTGGTTCCACCACCTATCAGTACCACCCCTTTTAGTGAATACAGAACCAAGTATAATTTTGTGGTGTTAAGTAATTTGTATAGAATTTTCTAAAGAAAACATAAAAAGCCGTAAAATAGATCCCCTGCTGCCAGCAACAAAAGCACCTCAAGGAACAAAATACCCCACAGCAACAATAGAATCGCTCCAGAAACAATAGATCTCCCAACAGCCAGCAACAACAGACTCCTCCCTCAACAGTAGATCCCTCCCAGCAACAAATCACCTTTCAGCAACTATAGACACCTCCCTCATCAAGAGACCCCCCAGCAACAATAGATCTCCTAGCAGCCAGCATCAATAGACCCTCCTGAACATCCCAGAACCCCTTGCCGTTACATACATTCAGTGCTAAGGTGCCGGAACTGCGTTCCCCAATTTCCCGCTGAAAAAAAGCCCTGGACAGCCTTATGGTGAACATTCCATGATTAAATCAAGTGTTTCTGAATGGCATAGGCAGTTTAAGGAGGGACAGGAAGATGTCCACGATGATACAAGAAATGGCAGCCAAAAATGGAAAGGATGAATGCAAATGTGGACGGAGAGCAAATTCTCATACACTCATGCTGGTGTGCTTTTCTGATCACAAGGGAATAGTTGACTACGAATTCATAGAACATAGTACAAAAGTCAACCAACACTGCTACTTAAAAATTCTGAAAATATTACTGGAATCTGGAGAAAAAGAATGGAACTCTGGCCTGGTAAGTGGATTTTCCACCACGACAATGCTCCTGCAAAAACACTTTGTTTACAGCACATTCCAGGTATTAAATTGTCACACCTCATATATAAAATAAGCATAAAAATCTCAAATCTTGCCTCCTCTTTCGTTGTTGCCCCTACACTAATGCACCATTCTTCCCCCTCACACTGCCATTTGCAAAAATGACATCATCAGTGGCTGGTTTCTTCTTCCTTGTTCTTCACCAGCCCACCAATGACACTGCTCCTGATCTTGCTGTACAAAATTTGGAACATATGTCATACATGATCTAACGCAGCGTATTGTTCAATACTAAGCTGCTCCAGGTTACATTTGACTCATACACCAGATCTCATGTGACATGGGAGATCTGGGGTGACTTGTTATTCTTCAATAACAAGCCATCCCGATCTCTTATGGCAGATGCGTGAGATCAGGCAAGGTTTCCCTGGAAAGCAATGGTGATGTAGCCTTCCCAGGGTACACTTGTGCAGCTGGGGCCTTGTCAACACTGCCTTGGGGACACGTGGAAGAAGTTTAAAAAACACATTTTACCAAAATTTTTTATTCTAAGAAATGGATGGTGTGGTGTTTGCTGATGGGCATGCAGTGACCACCGCATCATCAGTTTTCCTGATTAGGTGGGTAGAGGCCTTCTTTAAAGCTGTATGCATGTTCTGTAATGCGTCCTATACATTTCGGTCATAGGAGCCGGCTCAGGCCAGTGAAGGAAGCTAGGGGCTTATATGAATGGAGGACAATGGCCGTGTAGCTGTGAATGGCTCTCTGTTGTGTGTTTCCTCTGTTGTGTGTTGTCTATTGGAGGCTCTTGTGTTTAATGAGGTGTCTTGAAGTTGTAGCTGAAATAGAAGGCGGGGTGGATTGGCTGACCCATGGCTTTCCCTGTCTGTTTCTGCTTTCATCTTTAAATTTTATGAGCTCCCTGAACAGCCTCTGAGTAGGGACCCACCACAGCAGCCGTGAGTCCTGACACTGAGGGCTGCTGGTAGGAGTTTGCTGCTTAGAGGGGTCACGCTGCTGCAAACCCACCAACATTATCTAAATGAATGAGTCAGAGTGGCCTGCTCTGTTTAGCTAAGTGCAATAAACATCATTTACCGCTTGGATCAGGGATGTCCGACTAGAGTTTTTGTGGCTCTTGCCCCATTAATGTCCAAGTCAATGGATCATTTTGCAGCTGAATACATAAAGTGGTAATAAACCCAAACCCAAAACTGTAGTATATTGAAGCTTGCCAATCATTAGATTTGGTGGCTGCATTCGTTTTCTTTTTTAGGCTTAGTGATCTGGTGATCTGGCCAGTAACACGCCTCTTGTATTAGAGTGCCCCACTCTGGATCAAGGAGCACAGGGGGCACCTTTGGACAGCAGCATTGTTAGTTTGAGGGGAGGAGAGTGTTAGATGGACTAGCAGATTGAAATACACTAACATATCGAAGCCAAACGCCAGCTAACACTCTATAATCAGTTATGGCAACAGTTTTTTTTTTTTTTTACCTTTTAGGATAAAGGTTTTACCCAAATAAATAAAACCGATCATTGTAAGTACCCCTGCCAGTGTTAAGTGGTTTGGCTCAACTTTGTAACTGCAAGACAGCTTTTTCTGTTGAACAAGAGCTTTTTCTGTTCTGAATCACCAAATAAAAATAGAAGAAAAAAAAAAAAAACCCCAAAAAAGCTAATGCAGCTATCATATCTAAGAATTGGTAATCTGCAATATAATAAATGTTTGCTTTTGATTTTTATACTGCTTTAACCACTTGGCCTCTTGAGGATTTACCTCCCTTCCTGACCAGGCCATTTTTTGCTTTACGGCCAGGGGTGGACTGACAACTCATAGGGCCCCCAGGCAATAGGGGAGCATGGGGCCCCTGTGTCCTTGCCCAAATTAAAAAAAGCCTATGAAAAAGGTACCAGGGGCATCTCGTGGGGCCCCCTACTGACCCCGGGCCCTCGGGCAGTGCCCGAGTTTCCAAATGGTCAGTCCGCCCCTGGTTATAGCACCTCTTTATTTTAACTGACAATTGCGCGGTCATGCAAAGCTGCACCCAAATGAAATTTAAGTCCTTTTTCCCATGAATTGAGCTTTCTTTTCGTGGTATTTGATCGCCTGTGCATTTTTTATTTTTGTGCTATAAGCAAAAAAAATACTGACAATTTTGACAGAAAAACTATATTTTGGATTTTTTGCTACTAAACATGTCCAGTAAAAAAAAAAATCTAATTTCATTATAAATTTAGGCCAAAATGTATTCTGCTACATGTCCTTGCTAAAAAAAAAATCCCAATACGTGTAAATTAATTGGTTTAGGTGAAAGTTTATAGCGTTTACAAATGGCGGTATAGATAATGGGATTTTTTTTTTTTACCTTTTAGGATAAAGGTTTTACCCAAATAAATAAAACCGATCATTGTAAGTACCCCTGCCAGTGTTAAGTGGTTTGGCTCAACTTTGTAACTGCAAGACAGCTTTTTCTGTTGAACAAGAACTTTTTCTGTTCTGATTCACCAAATAAAAATAGAAGAAAAAAAGCCCCCCCAAAAAAGCTAATGCAGCTATCACATCTAAGAATTGGTAATCTGCAATATAATAAATGTTTGCTTTTGATTTTTATACTGCTTTAACCACTTGGCCTCTTGAGGATTTACCTCCCTTCCTGACCAGGCCATTTTTTGCTTTACGGCCAGGGGTGGATTGACAACTCATGGGGCCCCCGGGCAATAGGGGAGCATGGGGCCCCTGTGTCCTTGCCCAAACTCAAAAAAGCCTATGAAAAAGGTACCAGGGGCATCTCATGGGGCCCCCTACTGACCCCGGGCCCTCGGGCAGTGCCCGAGTTTCCAATAGGTCAGTCCGCCTCTGGTTATGGCACTGCTTTATTTTAACTGACAATTGCGCGGTCATGCAACGCTGCACCCAAATTAAATTTAAGTCCTTTTTTCCCATGAATTGAGCTTTTTTCGGTGGTATTTGATTGCCTGTGCATTTTTTATTTTTGCACTATAAAGCAAAAAAATACCGACAATTTTGAGAGAAAAACTATATTTTGGACTTTTTGCGACTAAACATGTCCAGTAAAAAAAATCAAATTTCATTATAAATTTAGGCCAAAATGTATTCTGCTACATGTCCTTGCTAAAAGAAAATCCCAATACATGTAAATTAATTGGTTTAGGTGAAAGTTATAACGTTTACAAATGGCAGTATAGATAATGGGATTTTTTTCCCCTACTAGTAATGGCGGTGATCAGCGACGTTTAACAAGACTGCGGCGGGAATTCTGACACTGTGGGGGAACTAACTTGGTGTCACTGACATTCCCAGTGATACCAATACAGTGATCAGTGCTAAAAAAACAGCACTGACACTGGGCAGGGTTAATGTGAGGGGCGATCAAAGGGTTAACTGTGTGTAGGGGTATTTTACTAGGGGGCGGGGGAGTGTGCTTCACTGTAAGCACACTGATTAGGATAGCTGTGCTGTGCAGCTTGATATGGGAGCGCACTTCCGCCCTTAGTGGTTCAGCGCATTCTTTGAAATGTGTCACATTGCATGCTGGTCCTCATACATCATCACGCTGATGCCAACGCTGCGCTCCAAGGTGCGCTCTAGACGCCATCTTTAGAAACTTCACGTGCCGGCAGGCAATCCTTCATATCCATAGTCTCCTCAGTGCGGACGCGGCCAGTACAGCAAGGACACAGCGATCCATTTTACCCATTTGAGCCTTCTTTATCTTACACAAAGTGAGTGGTTTTACATTGGTTGCTAAATACATTTTGTCAATACTGCACTTAGAGGCACTTCTCTCCTTCTTACCTCCAGTAATGCAGAGACCTGCACTGATGTAATGATAAGCCCACTAGTTGGACAAGCAGTTGTGCAATCCAGTCAACAATATTTTGCTGGATCAGGGACAGTTAGACTTGTAGCTGGGGGATGGTTAGACTTGTAGCCGGGGTTGATAAGCCCACCAGATAAAGTTTAATTTACACTTTAAAGTTGAAGAAAAGCCTAACTATCTTTAAAAATGTTGTCTACCCCCTCCTCCTACCTTACCTATTCTGCTTACCTTGTATAAAAAAGATCTGGGTACTTACCTATTTTTTATCTGATCCAATCCGCTCGCTTGATCTTGCAGCTCTGGTCTCCCTTTGTAAAGCAGAAGGAATCTTGGGAGAGAGGTGTGCACTCCAACATCAGAAATAGGTTGGTGGTTCCTGCAAACACCTGATCTAACGCTCCATTAGACACCTGTGTCAGATGTGGGATGTCCACGTGGGAAGCACGGTGTCCCTCATTATGGACTCACAACCACATCGAAATTGGGAGCATCAGCTGTGTCGGTAGAGCTGCTGAGACCCAATTGACATGAATGGGATGGCTAGTCCTCAGTAACGGAGAGACCTTTATGAGACAAGGCCACATCAAGAAGTATATAGAAAGGAATGGAAGTGCAGAATGCATGCGACAACTGGATCTACAAAGAAAGGCCAGAACATCAATATATAGATCAACAAAGCAGTTATTCTTTATTGTAGGACAGTGAAATACAGCCACAAAGATCTCCAACACATTTTGGCCATTCAGGCCTTAGTCATGGCCATTTGTGCAAGCCAGTCAAAAATATTTTGATGGATCTGGGACAGTTAGACTTGTAGCAGGGGTTGGCAAGCCCACAAGATAAAGTTTAAATCAGACTTTTTCAGCCAGGGTGCCTTGAAGTTTCTTAAGGGGTGCCTTGGCAAAATGCCTAAAAATTGCCCAAAAATTGTATACAAGCCAGTAGGTGGATCAAGCCGGCCTTTTAGGTATACAAAACCATACGCTTTCATTAGGCACCATTCAGCTGCTGGTGTCCTAATAACCAATGACGCCATCAGTTGATATGGAGGATGTTGGTCGCCTGCACGGCATCCTTGTTTGACCCTCCCCTGCCCCTCTCTGTCAGTAATGGGGTCACATTAGCTTAGTGGTAGAGAGAAATTGTGGGAGAAGGGAAGCATTGGAATATTATTCAGTATCAGTGTGCAAGTGTATTTGCTTTGGAAGAATAAATTCCCTCTAAAATTAGGTGTCCTACATGTGTGGGTGTTGCTGCATTCGGTAAAACCTTCAGAATAGTTTTTTTACATTTTAGAATGGGGTGCCTTGAGACTGCCTGTAATTTTAAAGGGTGCCTCAAGATTGTTCATAACTTTAAAGGACGCCTTGACTGAAAAAAGGTTGAGAAACACTGGTTTAAGTTACACTTTAAAGTGGAAGAAAAGCCTAACTTTATTCTTAAAAATGTTCCTTTCCCCCTCCTCCTATCTAACCTATCCTGCCTACCCTGTGAAAAAAGATCTGTGTACTTACCTATTTGTTATTGACTTCTCTCCCAACACATGACTTTGCAGCTCTGGCTTCCCTGTGTCAGGAAGCTCTACACAACAGCTGTGAATTTCAGGAGCCATGACATCACCCATAGGCTCCAATGGCCCAACGGTTGCCATCCCTTCCTCCTCTCCCCTGCAGCAGCCCCTTACTAACATAAAAAAAGTCAAAGCTGCAGGATCACGTGACCAGACTGCAGCAGATTAAAAAAAATAGGTAAGTACACAGATCCTTTTATACAGGCTAGGCAGAACAGGTAGGAAGAGGGGGGAGGGACCATTTTTAGGATAGTTATAGTTAGGATATTCTTCAACTTTAAGTGCACAAAAAAAACCCCCAAAGTTGACCAGAATACATCCTAGCAGTCAGCAAATAAGACGGGTTTAATGTCTCTCAAATTTTTAAAGAGGATTTGGATACTTTTGTATACTGAGACATACTTTTGTATGTTAGTGCAAATAAAAAAAGTATCACAGACAGTACTCAATTGTTTTGGATACTTTTGTAAAAATTCTCAGAAACAGTAAGACTGCGTCATCCTATGTCCTCTGCCTGCCTTTATATCAGCTTGCAGAATTTGTTTCCTCTTTAAAGCTCTATTGAAATCAGTTTTATTATTGTTCGCCAGTCAGGCTGTTGCAAATCCCTAGTGGTCCAACATGCACCATGCTCCAATGAACAATGCTCATGTTCCCTAAAACAGCATTTTAAAAAATAATCTACAAAATTGGCTAGAACTACGGCCTGTAGATGTCTACTTCTCATGTTTACAGCTCTTTCTGTAAAAAAAGTCTTTCGGTTTAGCTTTCACTGCCACTGGCAACCAGTACAGAGGGAATTTCACTGCTACTGGCTACTAATGCAGAGGGTGGGGGATTCAATTTCACTGCTAGTGGCCACCAATGTGGGGGCAGGGTTAATAGTATTGACACCAGTACTGGGGCTATTATAGTGTCCAGGAACACCAACGCTGGGGTATATTATTGTGTCCACTGACATCAGGGGTTATTTTTGTGTCCACTGACGCAAACGTTGAGGATTATTATTGCACTCACTAAAATCAATGCAGAGGGTTATTATTGCACTCACCAACACCAGTGTTGGGAGTTATTATTGCACTCACCGACACCAATGTTGGGAATCATTATTGCACTCACCGACACCAATGTTAGGAGTTATTATTGCACTCACCGACACCAATGTTAGGAGTTATTATTGCACTCACCGACACCAATGTTGGGAATCATTATTGCACTCACCGACACCAATGTTAGGAGTTATTATTGCACTCACCGACACCAATGTTAGGAGTTATTATTGCACTCACCGACACCAATGTTAGGAGTTATTATTGCACTCACCGACACCAATGTTGGGAGTTATTATTGCACTCACCGACACCAATGTTAGGAGTTATTATTGCACTCACCGACACCAATGTTAGGAGTTATTATTGCACTCACCGACACCAATGTTGGGAGTTATTATTGCACTCACCGACACCAATGTTAGGAGTTATTATTGCACTCACCGACACCAATGTTGGGAGTTATTATTGCACTCACCGACATCAATGTTGGGAGTTATTATTGCACTCACCGACACCAATGTTGGGAGTTATTATTGCACTCACCGACACCAATGTTGGGAATCATTATTGCACTCACCGACACCAATGTTAGGAGTTATTATTGCACTCACCGACACCAATGTTAGGAGTTATTATTGCACTCACCGACACCAATGTTGGGAATCATTATTGCACTCACCGACACCAATGTTAGGAGTTATTATTGCACTCACCGACACCAATGTTAGGAGTTATTATTGCACTCACCGACACCAATGTTAGGAGTTATTATTGCACTCACCGACACCAATGTTGGGAGTTATTATTGCACTCACCGACACCAATGTTAGGAGTTATTATTGCACTCACCGACACCAATGTTAGGAGTTATTATTGCACTCACCGACACCAATGTTGGGAGTTATTATTGCACTCACCGACACCAATGTTAGGAGTTATTATTGCACTCACCGACACCAATGTTGGGAGTTATTATTGCACTCACCGACACCAATGTTAGGAGTTATTATTGCACTCACCGACACCCAATGTTAGGAGTTATTTATTGCAATGTTAGGAGTTATTATTGCACTCACCGACACCAATGTTGGGAGTTATTATTGCACTCACCGACACCAATGTTAGGAGTTATTATTGCACTCACCGACACCAATGTTGGGAGTTATTATTGCACTCACCGACACCAATGTTAGGAGTTATTATTGCACTCACCGACATCAATGTTGGGAGTTATTATTGCACTCACCAACACCAATGTTGGGAGTTATTATTGCACTCACTGACATCAATGCTGGAGGTTAATGCTGCATCTCATGACAATAAATCTTGGGGGTTATTTTTGCTTCCACTGGTACCATAGTTGGGGGCTATTATTGCACCCTTACTGACATCAGTGCTGGAGATTATTATTGCATCCATTTACATCAATGTACAGTGGTATTA